CAAGTCCAGGACAGCCAAAGCCACACAGAGAAACCCTGTCTTGAAAACTAAACAAACAAACAAAGTATGAAAAAAAAAAAAAAAAAAAAAAAAAAAAAAAAAAAAAAGAACTGCATAAAGGGGTATAGGGAAATGGCCCACTCAGTAAGTGTCTGCTTTATGAGGATCTGAGTTTGGATCCCCGGCGCCACCAGCAAGCCCTGAGCTGGGCAGGCAGAGGCAAGGAGACCCCTGAAGCTCAGTGGCCAGCCAGCTTTAGTTGGTAGGCTCCAGGTTCTGTGAGACCTGTCTCAAAAGAATAGTCTGAGGACCAGCGAGAGCTTGGCGGTCAAAAGTGCACACTGCTTTTACAGGGGACCGATTCGGTTCCCAGCACCCACGTCAGGTGGATCACAGAGTCTTAATTCCAGCTCCTGGGGATCTTGTGCACTCTCTTGGCTTCAGTCAGTAGCTCACTCATGTGTATCTAACCCAGCCCCGCCCCCACTCAGAAATAAGTCTTTATAAACCAACAAAGTGGAAAAGAGCTCAAGACCCCCATTCCTGACCCCAGGGCTCGACATGCGCACGTATGTGCACACATCTGCACACACACGCATGTCCCACATACACGCTCACACAAAGGACAAAGGCAAGTGCAAAGAGGACTGGAACGAAAGCTCAGTTGCTAACATGATGACGTGAATTTAACCGTCTGAACCCACAGAAAACCAGATGTGGTGGCACATGCTTGGATCCCAGAAGGGAGGAGATAGAGACAGGTGGAGTCTGAGCTCACTGACCACCCTGGCCTACTCAGTGTGTCTCAGGTCCCAAAGAGAGACCCTATTTCAAAAAACAAGGAGGGCAGCCTAAGGGGAAACATCCAAAGTAGACCTCTGGTCTTCACACACATACACATGGACAGACGGATGGATGGATAGATGGACGGACGTGAACACCCAGACAAAATGGGTCAGGGGACTGGAGCAATGGCTCAGCAGCTAAGAACAATATCTGCTCTTCCAGAGGACCTAGGTTCAAGTCACAGCAGCATCCACATGGTGGCTCACAACTATCTGTAGCTCCAATCCCAGAGCATCCAACACCCTCTCTGGCCTCTACAGGTAGCAGATGTGCACATGGTGCACAGACATGCATGTAGGCAGAACACTCATATACACACAAATATATTTTTTTAAAAATGGGTCAAGGGTCTGGATAGACATTTTAAAGGAAAACATGTGGCTGGGAGATATCTCCATACAGAGTGCATACTGCTCTTGCAGAGGACCCAAGGGAATCCAATACCTTTGGCTTTCCAGGGCTCTGGCTTCTTTGGCCACCTACACTCACTCACTCACACACACACACACTCTTTTTAAAATAGTCAGGGTTGTTATACAAAGAACCCCTGTCGTGGGGGTTGGTAGGGAGTCTTAAAAGTATTGATACATTGGTCAGGCATGGTACCATGGCCCTATAATCCTGACACTTAGAAGATGGAGACAAGAGAATCAGAAGTCAAGGTCCATACTCAGCAAAATGAGTACAAGGCTAGCCTGGACTACATGACACTGTCTCATAAAACTGGGTTGTTTTTTTTTGGGGGGGGGGGTGAGATGGAGGAGAGCCAGACATGGTCTCACTATGTGGCTCTGGCTGGCCTGGGACTTGCTATAAAGACCAGGCTGTCCTCTAACTCACAGAGATCTGCCCCCCCTGCCTCCCGAGTGCTGAGTTTAAAGGCACATGCTTTTTTTTTTTTTTTTTTTTTTTCAAGTATTGTTACACTGGAAAAGGACTAAAACTGGGCTTGGTGGTGTGGCTCTGTAATCCTAGTGCTCAGGAGACTGAAGTGAGGGGATTGAAGTCGTCTTGGGCGATAAAGTGAGGCCATATCTTTAAAAATATGAGTGGGGCTTAAAGAAAATATAGTGAAAATGTTTCTGTTCTATCTGGGAAGAGACATCACACATCACGTGTGTGTTCTTCAGTGAATATGCATTGCCTTAAAATCAGGAGACACAAGCACACAAGTGTGAAGAGAGTGTCCCGCCGTGTCTGCTTCTGAACCAGGTGGCAACGTGTGCCACTGTGAGACAGCAGCCACGCGTGACCCCACACAGGAGCAGTCACTTTGCTCTCTCTTTTGGCAGAGAGGCATCCCCGGCCTCCCACAAAACTTAGTACATCTGTGCCACATTGAGTATAAGTTGATTTAAATACAATACTCCCCAAGAGGCATCTAGACAGTCTTGGTGGCCTTGCTCCTGCTTCGGAACACTGGCCTTCCCAAACATTGTCTTTGGAAGCCGTGCTGGGGAGGTTACCCTTCCTAACCGCGTGGAGGGAGGAGGCTGCGCAATGAATATTCGCCTCACATCTCTCCCTGCAGCCACAGAGCGATAGCGGGAAGTGTGCACATTTATTCTTTCGGCTTTAAATTTTTATGACAGTCATTGGGAATGCATTCTAGCAGCCCGTGGGGGCCAGGTGTCATTCGTAAAGCCCTTTTGATGCATAGTCGGTGTTCTGAGGCTCTCGTGTTTGTCTTTGTTCCCTGTGCCTCTGCGCCGAGCCTGCTTTAGACGCAGGAGCTGGTAAAGAGGAAAAGCAACCTGCCTGTCAGTTCTTTCAGACGTTTTGCCACGTCGTGTGCCACTGGCTTGGACGTCACTGTGCAATAGCCTTTGTTTCTTGCTGCCTTTTTGTGGAACTTGTTTCCTGTGAGAATGAGCATTGTAAAGAAGAGTGATATAGGGCACGTGCTCCCTCCTGAGGAAGGAAGAACAGCCTCCTCTTCTGTGTCGCCGGCGAGACTGGAAGTGATGTGGGTCTGGCGTGGGTAGTGGTTTGTCATTGCCTGAGTGGCCGGGGGATCCTGTATCTGTTACCGTTGGCCTGAAGATGATAGCACAAGGCGTGGGGGTGGGGGGTGAGCACACACCCGCACACACGCACGCACAAACGCCTGTGGCATGGTTAAGAAATTGCAGGTGCCAGCTTCCATCCTCTGTCCAGATCTTGGAGGTGGAAGATGTCTTGATTAATGTCCAAGGACATGCCCCCAGGGAGGTACACATAGAATTTTCTAGAGTGAGGTAGAGCCACGTCTTCTAAAGTGGAAGAATCAGCATGTGGCAATTTTAAACAAGGGTGTTTTAAAAAAAACCTTAATGAATGTGTATGTATGTGTCTGTGTAAGTGAATGTCACATGTGTGGGGTGCCTGTGGAGGCCAGAAGAGGGTGTCAGGTGGTGTTGGCAGTGTTTATGAGCCACCGCTGGGAGATGAGAAAGGTCATCCTCTGGAGAGCCGCAAGTGCTCTAACCACTGAGCTGTCCCTCCAGCCCCTGTTTGCATTTAATGAGTCACTGACACCCATAAGGAAGACCTTGGAAATCATCTAGATTTAAAGAAATCTAGAACATGTCCTAGACACTGATGTGTTAAATGGAAAATGAGAGTGAGCCCCTACTCTCTAGTTCCCAAAGCTGGCACAGCTGAGACATGGCATGGGAGCTGAGCAGTCTGTTGGCTTCACACCAGACTCTGTGTATGACTCACACGATCAGACCCTCATCCAGGCTTCACAACTGTTACATGACATAAGCCGAGGGGGTTCTCAAAACCAGTCAGACCTTTCCTTCAAGGTTGATCCTTGGCACCTAGTGACTTGTGTGCCATACCAGTGGCGTAGGCCCATAGGCGGACCAGTTGGCTACACAGAGCAGGTCATGGTGGCACATCCGAACAAGCACAAGGCATGAAGGAGAAGAGCATGGACGCTGTGTGATCATTATGTGTGGAGCCCAGATGTGTTTGTATTAATCACATAGAAAGTGTGTCCTTAGGCAGTCCTTAGGCTTCTGCACGTCTAGATACTGTGATCTTTCCTTTCAAGAGCGTGCTTCTCTGCATGAGGCTGTAGTCTAGTTCAGATAGCTCCACAAATGTCCCTGTCATCGGCAGGACACTCGTGCCCTCCCTCCTCATGACAGAGCAAGCAGAGAGCTAGAGTCAGGCTTCAGTCATGAAGTGGAGATCTTCGATGCCTCAGATGGAAACAGGGTTCCCGTCTTTCTGGGGTATTGCGACGCGCAAACTTGGTCTCTGAGGGAGTCTGTCATCAGCCTGTGTGCACCCGTGGTCAGCAGTGCTAGTGCTGCCGCCTTTGCAAGTGCTCAGCCCACCAGAACATGCTCGCATCAAACCTCACAGCCCCCTCCTAGTTGCTGCTGCTGCTTCCCCTCCTCCCTCCCCACCCCTGACCCACAATAGGCCAGATTCTGTAGTCTAGCAACTAGCCCAGGAAGTTGGAGACAGATTTGCTCAACCACTGGTTTCAGACAGATTGTATGTGGGTAGAAGGGTGGGCATGAGGGTGTTTGTTGGGTTGGGGCAAACATCTGTACTGAGAGCCACCCTCTCATCTAGCCTATGTATGTGGTTCCTACCCTCCTCTTCATCACATGCTGAGAGGGGAGGGCTTTGCAAACTCCTGACTCTGCTAAGTTCAGTGTCTCAGCAGTACGGCAATGCAAATATCTGTATTTTTAAGTACCTCAAGAATATCTTAACCTTGCAGGGATCGGGCTGAACTTGAGTTCTGGCCATTGGGAAACTCATTTCCTCCTGGATGAGGATGGGCTTGACAATTGCAGGCCCAAGCCTCAGCTGGGAGAAAGATAGGCAGGCTTTGATGACAGCTCGTGGACATCAAGTTAGTTGGGTGGGGAGTGTGGGCAGAGCAGGTTTTCTGAGCTAGTGCCTTAGAGTTAGCTGGATCATGGACTGGCAGAAACAGAACATAGACAAAGAGGAGGTTGCAGCTGTGACAGCCGATTTCGTTTCTCCTTTTCTCGCTCACCAGCATGATGTGGGACTTGTAATTTATAGGGAAGATGCACAAGTCACATGTTCTGTTTCTACAGGAGGGGCCCTCAGAGGCTTTATGAAAATAAGCACCTGTCTGAGTCTCCAGTTTTCTGACAGCTAATTTCCTTTTCTTCTGCTAGTTGCCAGAGGCCCCACCCTGTGAGGAGGAAGAGCAGGAAGCCTGGGTGAATGCCTTGCTTGGAAGAATATTTTGGGACTTCTTAGGCGAGAAATACTGGTCTGATGCGGTGTCGAAGAAAATCCAGATGAAACTGAGCAAAATTAAGGTATGGCTTTTTATAAGAGAGTCCTCTGATTCCCCACCTCTTCATTTCTGGATGTTCTGTCCCCTTAGGCCTGAAGCAGAAACACACCTTGATTTAAGCACAGCACTCACCCAGAACACATCTGACCTGGATTACACACTGACGGTGATCTGTGACTAAGTATCTGGGGCCTGAGTCAACTGATGGGCCACTTCTGCTGCTGCTGCTGCTGTCCTCTCTAGGTGGTCCTCTGGAGCTTGTTTCAGAAACTAGGAACTCCCGCAGCTGACCTGTCTCTGAGTTAGAGACAGCTTAAACTGTCCATCTATTTTCACAGTAGGCCAAGCCACATGGAAATTTTGAACGACATAGGACCCTTCCCTAGCTGCTCTCCTTCCTCAGCTAGGACAGTTAGTGCTCACTCTAATTGTGTCTGCTGCTGACCTTTGGTTTAGACCAGATGTCTCTTTGTGATGGGCTCTCTTTTTGCTAAAGCAACACGCCTGGTGCTAGGCCAGGCCCGCTTGGGAGTAAGTTTAAACTACCTAAAGATTCCTCATGACTGTCTAAAGGACATACTTGCCTTGGGAAGTTCCTGAGATGCAAGTCTTTGGCCTGCTGAAGGCCCAGCCAGGGAAGAGCGCTTTGGTCTTTTAAGTCCTGTGATCAGTAGCTTATATCTAGGCTCTTTTGGGCCCTAGATTGCTTTGAGAAGCAGAAACTGTGGATCATTTTCCTAGAAGAATGCTCACTGGCATAGGACTTGGCACGTGCTCTCAGGGAGTTCAAGGCCTCCTGGTCAAGAAAACTTCAGACTAAGATAAACTTAGGGTTGAAGAAAGATGTGGGACACAAAGCAGCTACAGTCTGATTTTGGTGCTTGCTCTGGACAAAGAACAGAATGGTTTTCGGCTTAGCTGAGCCATGACGAACTCTGTGTGCTTTCTACAGATCAGTCTCTGCCCTTCCTCAGCTCTCCGGTAAAGAGAGGTTGCCTTCTGACCTGTAGAAACTTTTAGAGCGAGGCTTTGGGAGGACTTTTGACAAGTGTCAGCCAGTTAGTGTCCTCAGGGTAAGTTGAGGGTTGACCTGTCCTGCTGGCCAGAGGCAGTGGGAACTGTACTCATCAGTGTCCCTCCTTGTTGGGGGATGAGATGTCAGCAGCCACCTCCAATGCACTTGACCCTTTGACACCTTGGAAACGACAGAGGCTGGAGTCTCAGGTCAAGGCACATAGAGGGGCTGTCCCTGCTCCTTTCTCTGAGACTGGGAGGCGCTGCTTCCCTGCAGCAAGAAGAGAACAGGGCATGCCTTAGTTCCGGACAGCTGCTCACCAGTCGCAGAAGTGCGAAGAAGCTGTCTCGGCATCCTCCTAACCAGGAGTGAGAGGTCATGGTGCCTCTTCCCCTGGTGGAATGATGAAGGCTCCCCCATTTTGGAGGAAGTCTAGGGAAGTCTTCTGCTCCTGTTACTCCCAAAAGTACTTAAGAGTCCACCAGCTTAAGCTTCTTTTTATGGTCAGAAGTTAGGCCGGGAGGACGTGGTTAAGATCCAGCAGTGCCCCAGGTCAGGCTTGGAGGGCTTTGTCCCTTCTCTTACTGCTCCTCCCCTCATCCCCACCCCGTTCTGATCTGCTGCTGCAGACCAGAGGGGACCCAGACAGAGGAGCAAATGGGCAGAAGGATAATGCCAAGTTCTACAATCTCGGATTGCCGCTGTTGGCATGTTGTTGACTCATGTCAGCCAGAGTTGCATTTGGTACCTAGATGTGAGTTTAAAGCCAGTAGAGTTTTGGGGCTGGAGAAGTGGCTCAGCAGTTAAGAGGACTGGCTGCTCTTCCAAAGGTCCTGTGTTCATCACCCACATTGCAGCTCACAACTGTCTGTAACTTCAGGTCAAGGTTATCTGACACCTTCACATAGACATATGTGTAAGCAAAACAACAATGCGCATAAAATTAAAAATAAAAAAGCAAAAGAGTTTCTCCCCCAACAGCAAGTGAACTCTTTGTCTTGGCCCTTACTGCTCACATACATCTTTGGGAAGCTCGTGCCCACCAGCAGATGCTGTCATGGCACACAGCCTGATGCTCATCCACAAACAAGAGCATATCCCACACACCTGACTGTTTGGTCCCCAGTTGAGTTTACACAGAAGGGTAAGAAACGTGACCCCTGGGTTCTTGTCTCATGTGGGACCCTGCAGGTTTACTGTTGAGTGGCTCAGAGAAGAGACCCTCTTTCTTCAGCATTTGAAAGAGGCTGATCTAGGAAAGAGCTGCTTGAGGAGAGGTTAGTTGTAGATGTGCTAGCTTTTGGGGGTTAGGTGGACCCAGAGGGCCTTGTTGGCCATCCCCAACCCTGATAATGAGAAGGCACTCACTGGGTCACCTTCTTGGCAGGGTTACTTCGAGCCCTGCCTTTGTTTCAGGACCTGTCATAGGTCCTTCCTTTGCCTTTTCAGCAGCTGAAGGATGTAGGATAGGGTTGGAGAGGATGCTGTGACACCAAAGAATAGAGACAGTTAAGTTCCTGCTGTGGCGTGGTGTCCGACAGCTAATCCCATAGAAACACTGCTGGAGGAGACCTATGCTTTCACTAGCCTGTGAAATCTCTCTGGCAGGCTCCTGAAGTGCTAGTCCTGGAATGACAGTCACAGACAAAAAGCACTGTGGCACGTGTGTGAGGTGTGGAATACTTGCCTGGCCGAGTGACATTTTGTGGATTGATAGTGATGTCACCCACATTTACACTTACGCTTTTAGGAGTGGAAATGTCTTAAGACAGGGAGCACCAATTCAGACAGTTGTGACTGAGGGCTGGACATACATAGCTCAGATGAGACCATGTTTGCATACCATGGAGGAAGCCCTGGGCGAATACCTGTCACCCCAGTACTGGGAAGGTAGAGGCAAGAGACTCGGAAACTCAAGGCCATCCTCAGAGTCTGAGGCTAGCCTGTCTCAAACAATGCAATTAGATGCCATATTCATCACAAATACCACCTCCTCCTGTGACCCACACTCCTATTTAAAAAAAAAAAAAAAAAAAAAAAAAAAAAAGCAGAGGTGAAGGTGAAGCCTGAAAGATCCCACTTTGTGCTGAGCCAGCCGCAGAGATCCACCGTGCAGACCCCCGATTCACACCTGCTGCAAACTCACTGTATGGGAAATGTTGGTTTGTGTTTAATTAAAAAAAAATCAGTGTTTACCAATTAGTCTAACACTCAGCTAAGATAGTTGTAGGAGAAAAGTAAAGAAGAACTGGTGAACTATAAAGTTACATCAGAGTCAGGTGTCACAGGGCTTGGCTGTCATCTCAGCACCCTGGAGGCCGAAGGAGGAGGAGCCGGCCTGGGCTACACAGTGAGACCCTGTCTGGAGGACAGACAGACATGAGAATTATAAAGCTACAGTGATAAGGGAAGCTTGATACTGGCTGCTCAGTGACTAGGGGGAGATTCCTAACTAGCCATTTGGGAAAAATACTGAACCCTACTTCAGATCTTAGGCTAAGCTGGGTGAGGTGGCATATACCTTTAGAACCAGCACTGGGTGGCAGAGACAGGCAGATCTCTGTGAGTGCAAGTCAATGAGGGATACATTGAGAGAGAGAGAGAGAGAGAGAGAGAGAGAGAGAGAGAAAGAGAGAGAGAAAGAGAGAGAGAGAACCCTTAAACTAAAATAACAAATGACCTGAAGATTAAAAAAGAAAGAAAGAAATCCACCTGGCAGTGGTGGCATGCCTAACACTCAGGAGGCAGAGGCAGGCAGATCTGTGAGTTCAAGGCCAGCTGTTCTACAGAGCCAGTTCCAGGAGAGCCAAGGTTACAAAGAGAAACGCTGTCTCAAAAAGAAGAAAGAGAGAAAGAAAGGGGAAGGAAAAAGAAAATACAAAGGAAATATAGATAAGTTTATGGGGTGACTTGGGGATTCTGAGGATAGCAGGATTCTTACATTATTTCCTTTATGATAAGTTCCTGCTGATAGAGTCGGGACTATTAGACCAGGAGGAAGCAGATGGCACACTCAGATGAGTAGCCAGAGGAGATGCAGAGGCTTAAGGAGACTGCATTATGCCTAGGCCACCAGACCAGTGGACATGGGAGCTGTGGCCCTCCCTGAAGGTGAAGTGGCGAGCAGCTTACCAGTTCTTCGGCAGGAGAGCTGTGAGCAGGGAGCTGTCTGTCTAGAAGGGGCTCTGACCTTCACTGGAGCGTGAGGACAGAGGCTAACATTCCCCTGCGCTTCCCCTCCCACGGCCACTGGTGTACATGATGACCATATACAGCCTGAAGCTAGAGAGACCTTGGACGCAGACTCCATGGGCACAGTCCGCACAGACCTGCACTTGTGGAGGAGGTGAAGCATGGATACATGGGAAGAAGATGGAAATAGCCAATCCAGGGTCAAGAAGATGTGGGGCCGGGTTTGGGGCTTTAGTTTTGGTTTTCCAAGTCATTTTCATTCCTGTGGTAGGTAATTTGCCTGTCAGAAATGTAACCGTTTATTACTCTCCGTTCCTCGTTCTTACTACCTGTGTCCTGCACTTGCAGGTCTCAGGTCAAATGCCATCCTTGTGGATGCCTCCTCACCTCTTCAGCCAAGACAGCCATCCCTGACCAAGCCCACACCTCTGTCCCAGTTCCTGCTTAGGAGATCATAGCATTTATCTGCTTATTTGTTTCTTCCTCTCTGGTTTGTACAGAGATATGTGACCCAACACTTTACACTTTTCCTCAGACAGATGTGGAACTCTAGCTGACCTTAGTGTGGCTGCCAGCTTACTGACATGTCTCATTCACTGTTTGTTTCTTTTCTCTAGCTCCCCTACTTTATGAATGAGCTAACACTGACAGAACTTGACATGGGTGTGGCTGTGCCAAAAATCCTTCAGGCCTTCAAGCCTTATGTTGATCACCAAGGTAACTCTTAGTTGAATAGAGAGGACTTGAGCATTTATACAGTGTGCTAAAATGTTTCTCTTGCTATAGTTTTGACACTAAGGCTTGTGCTTAGAAGAAGCCAAGTCCTATCCTCCCTATTCATGTGGAGTGTGGGTTTTGTTCTTATTTTTTGTTTAGCTTTTAAAAATTCGTGTGTGTGTGTGTGTGTGTGTGTAAGTAATGGAGAGTGAAGAGGGGGGGAGAGAGAGAGAGAGAGAGATTGCGGGGTTGGAGAGGGACGTGCATGCTGAGGGGAGGGGACAGCTCTATGGAGTCCGTGCTCTCTCTTACCTTTAAATGAGTTCTAGGGCTTGAACTTAGATCATGCCTTGAATAGCAAGAACATTTAACCTCTGAACCGTCTCACCAGCCATTTTTGGTTCGTTTGATTTTGTTTTTGAGAGTCTTGCTGTATAACTCAGGCTGCTCTTGGACCTTACTCTGTAGCCCAGTCTGTCTTTGAACTCATGATCTTCCTGCCTCAGCCTCCCAGCACAGACACATGCAGCTGCATCCTACAAGTGACTTCTGTTTGTCACAGTCACAGTAGGAAACTGATTGGCAATGGGTGTAGACACCTTCTCCTAGCTCTAGTCTCCCAGTTTGTTCCTGGGTCTTTTCTAGGCCCACACCCTCAAACCAGTGGCTGGGGCACGCGCTTTTGTGGGAGAAGTAGCCCTTGCCAGGTTGTGAGACAGTGAGTTAGGTTTTAGCTGCACTTTCCTCTCATGGGCCTTTGCTCACACCCAGCCTCACCTGCTTCATGTTGTGAGTTGTAAAATCTTTACCCTCATGTAGTGCTTACACTCCTATGGGGTTTGAAAGATGAAGAAGGCACATTTTCAAAGGCATTATTTTATGAGCAAGTCTATCTGCTGCAGCATAGCTCTTGGACTTGAGGTTTTAGGCGTGCCATGGATAGAATATTTATGCCTAATCTTGTGGATGGAGAGGAAAAAAATTGATCGGAATGTGGAGGAAATATAAATGATGAGGATGATCACAGATTTCTATGCTTTTATAACATGTGGCCTCAAAGGGATGAGTTAACTCACAGGGATGAGTTAATATGAAGGAATTTAATAAAACACAAAGACACATGAGCCACATGGGCAGAAAAAGCCTTTGGCACACAGGAAAACCTCACCAGTTCCCTCCCTTCTCCTGCTTTCCCTTCCTTTCTTCCTTTTTTTTCCTCCCTCTCTCCCTTCCTTCCTCCCTCCCTCCCTTTCTCAGTTTTGAGGCAGGGTCTAGCTAGGTAGCCCAGGTGAACAAACTCTTTCCTCCTGCCTCCATCTTCCAAGTGCTGAGACTGCAGGCATGTGCCAATATGCCTGCTGAACTCAAAGTTTTCGTACCCCTTGTCAAGGAACCTCTCTCCCTTGAGCCATGTTTAGCATTATTCCCAAGGTGGCCCAGGAGCAGAGTAGGGAAAGTAAACACAGCATTGCTGGAGAATGATAAGTGTTTTTGTAGAATTTGTAAGGTATAGGAGAACTCTCTGTTTGTTGGCTGTTGAATCACATTTAGTGGTTTTTCTACTGTTACACAATATGAAGAGAGTGTTCTGTGATTACGCTTAGTAGCTAAGTACATCTCTCTAGCAGGGTTTGAGCTGATGGGGACGCACACTGACCTTTGAGAAGGTCCTGCATGCTGAGCTCACCTGTGAGCACCGTGATCAGCCTGAGCACTGCAGGTGCACAGAGTCGGCTCTGCAGGTCGGGTTCGTTAGTGTACTTCCGCCCTGGCACCAGGGGGGCTGTTCTGCCTGCTCCTCACTGCTGCCCTCCCCCGGCACAGCAGAGTGACAGTACTAGGAGGTGTGCTGCTTGTGCCCCAGCACAGCACACGTGCAGGGGCCAGCTCTGACCCATGGCCTCTCCGCTGCCCTTTGCTCCTGGCTCCTCAGGAACTGATTAGTAACAAGCTGTAAATTATCAGCTAACTCAAGCCTTCTGATCACTGGGCTTTTAAAAGTAAATACGGAAAATGCCTGCTAGGGTTTCTCACATGCCTGCAGCTTCTCTAGCCCCAGCAATGCCCTTTCCTGGGTTAGTAGGAATGTCTGAGGGCACTGGGCAGGGCACAGCAGGCTCTGCTGCGTTCAGGAGTGTCCCTGTGGCTTTGAACTGTACTGCAGACACAGGCCTGTGCTGGGCAGCCTTTGAGGATAGAGACAGCATTTTAGAGCTGGGGGGAGACATTTCAATTCTGCAGATCAAAGTCTTGGTGGTTTTAATCCACTTGAAGCTTACTTAACTCCTTTCAGGGCAAAGTGTGGAGATCTTCCTGCTTATATAACAGGCAGAGAGCATTACCAAAGAAAGGGACAAAAACTCCCATAAATCCTGTGGGTTATTTGAATTTAATCAAATTAGGCTTTTCCAAGCTTTTGAAGGATGCCTGTATGATGCTAAAGCAGAAAGAGACGTGAAGGAATGCACTTGGGTGTTTTCAATAACAGTGACATGTTCCTGCAACTGTCCCACATTGTATAAACAAGAGAGTACGCTTAACCCACACTTAGGTGGCAGCCACCTTACCAAGTGACAGACTGTCACAGGACTGCTGTCCTATAGATGGTCCACTGGTGACAGAAGTCATCATGCGGTGTGTGACTGTGAGTTTGAGGTTTTGGATTCCCTCGCTCTCAGGCAAGGGAAATTAAAAGCTGGGGTGACTTGCTAAAGCTGACCACAGATGAAAATGGACCTCACTTGCAACTGGGTCACGGTTTTTAAATAGCTCCGCCTCCTGTGAGGCACCTGTGCCCCTCCGAAAAGTCCCTTCAGGAGGCTGGAAAGATGGCTGTGCACTTAGGGGCACTTGCTGTTCCTCCAGAGGACCCAGTCTCTACCTCCAGGTCCAGGAGATCAGCGCCCTCTTCTGATCTCAAAGAGCCCTGAGTGCATGCGGTCACACAGACGTAAGTGCAGGCAAAATACCCATACGTATAACATAATAAAAATAATTTAAGAAAGAAAACATATATCTCCTGGTTCACGTGGGCTGTTCAGCCTGACTTAGCCATGCTCTTTTTAAATTCTAACACATGTTCTCCCTGTGTAGCCCTGGCTGGTCTAGAACTTGCCACGTAGACCGAGCTAACCTCAAACATGCGGCAGTCCTCCACGCCCTGCCTCCCAAGTTCTGGGATTACTAGCACTGTGTCACACCCAGCATGTCCCTCAGTTTTGAAGCAGTGCAGAAAGTGGTTCTCAGTGGCATCCAGAGAGTGAGAACGGAGCTCTTAAACCCATAGCCTCAGGCAGGTTCTAGAACCTCTGCTTTCTCACCTGCCAGGTGGGGACTCTAATAGCACCTGCCTACCTGCCATGAGGAATTCATGAGTTAACACACCAAAGGCAATTTAACCTGCAAGAGCACAATAGTGTTATTTCACTATTACCATTTTGCCCTTTCACTATTACCATTTCACAATTACCATTTGCTTTCATGTTGCTCCTGGAAAGCTTAGGGTGTAGGTCTAGGTGGCTGTGTTGGGGAAAGAAAAAGTAGTTTGCAGCTAGATACCATGTCATAGGCGATCTCAGCACTTGGAGACTGCCAGGAGACAAGAGGATCACCAGGAGTCAAAAGATAGTTTGGGCTACATGGTGAGTCCCAGGCCAGGCTGCGCTGCACAGTGAGACTCTTCCCCAGAACAGAGAATAAAGGCTGGAGTGGTGGCTGGGTTAAGAGCACGCCTTTACTCCCAGCACTCAGGGAGGCAGAAGCAGGAGCATCCGTGTGAGTTTGAGAACAGCCAGGTCTACAAAGCGAGTCCAGGACAGTGAAGGCTACACAGAGAAACCCTTGTCTTGAAAAAACAAAAAAGGGGGGGGGGTCCAATAACAACTTCTTCGTCCACAGACAGCATGCGCACGCATAGCGCACAGACACGTGCAGTCAAAGTTCTCACTGAGGTGCTCTTCTGTAACCCCAACATGTGACCTTGATGCTCCTCTTCAAACTTTGTTCTCTGGATGCCGGATACTCACTTGGAGAGGGAAAACCAGCCTGCCATGGTTAAAAGGAGTGGGAAGTCAGAGCAGGGGGCCTGAGGCCAGCTCCATGAACAGGGGTCTTGGGACCTTTACTACCTTCTGGTTGTAATCATCTTGCCACAACCTAGGGTCAACGTGGAAGAGCCTTCATGAGGAATTGTGTAGCTCAGGTTTGCCCCACATCTATGGGGGCTTATCTTGATTATTTACTGAGGTCGGAAGCCCCTCCCCCATTGTATTGTGGGTGGCACTACCTTCTTGGGCTGAGCTCTGAACTGTGTGAGAAGCTAGCTCAGTACCAAGCAAGCCAGCGAGGACACAGGCTTGTGTTCTTGTTCTCCTGACTGGGTGTGATGCTTTGAGTTACCACCTTGCTTTCCTCAAAGTGTTGGGCTGGAGCCTGGAACTGTAAGCCAGATGAACCTTTTCTTCCCAGAGTTGCTTTTTGTCAGGGTATTTGTAACAGCAGCAGAAATGAAGCTAGAACATCTTCCAAACAGAAGTGGCCCTGTTAACCCAGCCCCAGAGTAAAGACCAGTGCCTTTAACGGTGCAAGACGGAGATGCTATGTGGGACCACATGCTCTCTGTGGCCATGGTGAGGAAGTTACTGAAGCCATGGGATTTGTGAAGGAGAAATGGGGTGAAGCAAACACCCCCCTCCATTCTGGTTGTTGCCCCCCCCCCCCCCCCCGCCCCTGAGGACATTACAGTCATGGCTACTTAATACCACTTTACATTGTGGTCTGAGTTGAGGTCTGTGAGCTGATTAAGGCCATCTTTATTCTGTTGTTTGTTTGTTTTTTGAGACAAGGTCTCATGTAGTCCAGGCTCATGTAGCCCTAAACTCTCTGTGTAAACAAGGATGCTTCTCCTGCCACTGCCTCCCTAGTGCGGTGATTACAGATGTGTCAACATACCTAGCAGGCATCTTTATCCTGTGTGTGTACACATGTGTTCATACATGGATGTGGCCTCCAGAGGCTGATGCCATGTGTCTTCCTCAGATCCTTCCTCTCCATCTTCTTTTTTAAAGCCCGGTCTGTCATTGAATCTGTAGCTCACCAGCAAGCCCGGGGAAGTCCCTGCTCCAAGCACTGGAATTACAGGCATATTATGCAGCTTCTGCCTGTGTGCTTGAGAGTCAGTCAGGTCCTCCTTCACACATGCACAGCACGCACTTTACTGAGCAAATGGGGTCATCTTCCCAGCTCCCTCGTTAGTAACCATGTACTTCCTGAAGATGGGTTCCTTACTGTCCCTGTCAGTTGATATGGCTCCTATCACTAAGGGCCCAGGAGCACCTTTGGGGAGTGAGCTGTCTGTTCTCTCTAGCACCCTGAGCTCCTGATGGGGCCTTGACAAAGACTCTTTAAAGTTTACCATGTCCATTGTCATTTGGTTGGTGTTGTTTCGTCCATGAGCGCTACTACTGTAACAGCTTATAGCTGTCTGTGCTCAGGTGAAGGCCTCCCTTGTGGGAGAGGCTGGAGAAGTGGCTCAGAGGCTGAGAGCACTGGCTGCTCTCCCAAAGGTCCTGAGTTCAATGCCTAGCAACCACACTGTGGTTCACAACCCTCATATAATGATATCCGGTGCTCTCTTCTGGGTACAGATGTACATGCAGTACAGAACACTATACAGAATAAATAAGTCTTAAAAAAAGTCCCACACATGGAACAGTGTCTTGTCCCCATCTCTACATTGTCACCATAGCCATTCATTCTCCCAAGGGGAAGACAGGCCTTGCCAGCCAGGGTCTGGGGCATAACAGTAGGCTTAGGTCTTTGCTCTGAACTGTACAAGCTCTCAGGTATGCAGGGTGCTTCTTGCCTGCCTAGTCACTATCATAAAAGCAGTTTTTGGTGTTTGGTTTCTTTTTTTTTTTTTTTTTAATATAAAATGGTGAGTAGTCTCCTTTTCCACATTTATTTCAGATAAGTGTTTGCGGTTCATATGTTTTTCAGTTCTCAGCTCATTCTTGATTCTATCTTAGGTTGTGAGTGGGCCTTATAAAATGTACCAAGTAGTATGAAACCAGACACTGGACCAGAGATACAGTTCAGAAGGTAGAATGCTTACCTAGTACGCATGACACCCTGGGCTTGACCCCAGCTCTCCGTGAACTGAGAGTGGAAGGGCTGCTTACAATTCCAGTGCTTGGGAAGTGGCGGCAAGTGAGTCACAAGTTCAGGTTCATTCGTAACTTCATAGCAAGTTTGAGGCCATCCTGGTAAGCATCACATCCTGTCTCAGACAACAATAACAACAACAAAATAGAAACAAAACACAGCAAACTCAGCAGGAACATCTGATTGTATCTAGGTCTCATCCTGACATAGGTCTCTGGTTATCTTGTGCAGCCTTTCCTCCAGAACAAGAACAAGGATGGCCAGGGTGCACTAGCTACTGGCTGCATACAGACCTCCCTAAAAAGATGGGGTAGTGTCCTTTGTAGAGGTAAGACCTCTGTTCAGAGAAGTGCAAGGCCTCGCTCATGTAATGGGACTCCAAGCTTTTCACTTGGCTTTCCTGGCACTGGGGGGTAGGTCATGTGACCAGGGCCTGAACCAGCCTGTGTCCATAGTACTTGTTTTTGTTCTTTTGCTTTTAAAAACAAAATAAAAACAAACAGCAAGGGACTCATTAGTTAGGAGCATTTCAGTTCCCAGTATCCACATTGGGTGGCTTACAAATGGCTATTGCTCCAGTTCCCAGAAATCTGATGCCCTTATGTACTGGTCTCTTCCAGAGGAAGAGCTTGAATCCCAAGGATCCATGTTGGGTGGCTCACAACTCCATCTCCAGGGGGATCCAGATGCCCTCTTCTGGCCTTTGCGTGTATCTGCATATACCTCCCCATATATATAAAATTTATAAAATTTATAAATAATAAATTTGGGGGAATGAAAGACAACAAAACCTCCCATATTGGAAGGAGTAAAGTTTTATTACCTTTAATATGACAGCTTTCAAAGACAATTCATGCATCAGTATTATTTGGAAACCTTGCTAGGATTTCCAGAAGAAATTATTGTGTCTTTTTTTCTATTGAGTTAAAATTCATATGTAGCCTTTTGCACTAATCCCTTCCTCCTGGAAAGGATTAAGGACCAAATGTCTTTACTGAAACAGATGTGCCTTTTATTTCCACAGTAACAGTATTTTGAAGAGTAAGCTAACAATTTTTTAAATGCTTACTGTAAGCTAGAAATGAAGCATTTTTTTCCCCCACAAAGAAGATAATCACACTTGACCTGTATGCCACTTAATTAAACCAACTCATCCATGAAAAATAATTGCATTCAGTAACAGGAAGAATTTGTTGAAAACAAAATAGGAATTGTTCTGCCTTCAGTGAATAATTGCACCATTAGTACTTCGTAAGGTTGGACAGTGCTTTCATCTTGGGGGCTAGCCTCATGGGGAGGGGCTGTTTACTGTAATCGACTGAATGGTTTGAGATTAATTTCCTGCTTCCTGTTGCATATTGTCACTTGTCTTTTGATGATCTATAAGGGTTTATTAGCATTTAAGTAGCCACTTGAAGGATCACATTTTGATTTAAAACCATGAGGTTTCATGGAGCTGTAAGAGTGAAAGCATCTCATGTAGCTTTCCTGGCCAGGCCAACCTCTCCTGTGATGACAGAGGGTTGTGAGGCAATCTGTGTACACTGGAGACACTGGTCCAGTGGCTGGCCAGCCTGGTAAAATGTGATGAGCTCATTGGCTGCCGCAGTAACCCTCTGTGACTAAATTCAAGTAGTTCTCCAGATTTACCTAGATATTCCTGGAAATCCTTTTGTTTCTATCATTAGGTAATTTCCAGAAACAAACATACTAAAAATAGAGAAATTTGGGGGCTGGAGACATGACTCAGTGGTTAAGATCACTTGTTGGGGGCACTGAAGAGATGGCTTAGAAGTTTAGAGGATTGGTTGCTCCTCCAGAGGTCCTGAGTACAAGTTCAGTTCCTATCAACCACATGGTGGCTCACAACCATCTATAGTGAGATCTGTTGCCCTCTTCTAGCGTGCATGTGTACATGCAGGCAGAACACTGTGTACATAATAAACATTTCTTTAAAAAAATATTTAATTAAATTTAAAAAAAAAGTTCTTGTTGGTCTTGCAGAGGACCTGGATGCAGTTCCCAGCACCTACACAGTTCCAAGGGCTCCAATGTCCTCTTCCCTGGCACCAGAAGTGCTCATGGTACACACACACACACACACACACACACACATATGCAAAGCACTTATACAAATGAAATAAATCTTTAAAAATACCTAAATGTTTTATCAGGGGTGTGTATGAGAGAGAGACTAATGAGTTTATTGGGTCCTTTTTTTTTTTTTTTACTGTTTTTAAACTATTCTTTAAAAAAAAGAATATTGCTTGCAGGGAGGGGGGGTAAGATGGAGTAGGGCTTGTGCATGTGGAAGTCAGAGGATGGAAGTCAGTTCTCTTCCTTTACCATGTGGATCCAAGGCATCAAACTCAGGTCGTTAGGCTTGGTGATAGGGGACCTTTACTGGCTGAGCTGTCTCACCTCATTGGGCGTAGGTGAGGAAGCCCAGCCCGTTGTGACTCCATCACAGACTGTCTTATGGAGTTGCTCAGCCCCCAGTGAAGTCTCCTCATACTGCAAACAGCTGCACACTGGCCACCCTTCCTGGCAGTGCTGTGGGTCAAGCCGGGATTCCTTCTGGGCATGTGTTTTCTTACTGTGAGGAGGAGAGGCCAGAGAAAGAGAGAGAGCATGGGGGCCTTGCAGTGCTGACACAGACACTATGTTCACTGTGGCTCCCCAAGTGTGCTGTCGTGCTGGCCACTGCACAGCAAGCAAACCAGTAAGGTCTTTCCTCCCACATCCTGATGGCAGAGCATCCTCGCCGTCTTCACACCTGTTGTCAGTACAAGTCACGTGTGGGCTTCAGCTGCATGCCGACGTAATAACATTGGGAGACTTATTTTATGTGCGTGAGTGTTTGGCCGACATATTCGTGCTGTGTGCCACATGCATGCCTGGTGTCCTCAGAGGTCAGAAGGTGTGAGATCCCTTGAAACTGGAGTTACATACTGACTGTGCTCTATCACTGGGTGCTGGGGACTGAACTCCATTCTTCTGCAAAGCACCAAGTGCTCTTTACTATTGAACTATCTTTCTAGTCCTGAAGATGCAGGTTTTGCTACTGTACTTTACATTCATATTTCTTGGGAGTCAAAAATAAACAAGCATACATAAATGCAAAAAAAACAAAAAACAAAAACAAAAAAAAACAAAAAACCCACCAAACCCCACCCCTTTGTTTTTTTAACTGTCTCTCCAGGACTCTGGATCGATTTGGAAATGTCTTACAACGGGTCCTTTCTGATGACTCTTGAGACCAAAATGAACCTGACCAAACTAGGTAAAGAGCCTCTTGTTGAAGCCCTGAAGGTTGGAGAAATTGGCAAAGAAGGGTAAGGGGCTATATATGAATTTACTAACCAACCCTGGGGGCCCACCCAGCCTCTCCCTGCAGCCTGTGAGGAGCAGGTCGGGGTGTGGGAGCCCGCATGGCCAGCAGGTTCACCGTCGGCACTTCTGATCACAGACTGAACTTCACACACAGGGACCGCTGTAGCAGCACACAGTGCCTGTTGCTGTCAGCACTGGCAGTGGTGACACTCTCCACTACCCGGAAAGCTTCCCTGGCGCAGGCCAGCAAGACAGATGCCTCTGGGCATAAACTGCTTTGTGAATCGAATCCTGCTTCGGCTCCCAGCCACAGACAGCAATGTGTGGAGCAGATTAAGGTCCCCTGGCATCTACCACTTTAATCACCCGGTCAGAATTATTTATGATGAGACAGTTGATTTTGTAGCTGAGAGGATGCTCCGCTAGTGTTCTAAGAAGCATTTTCCCGAAATAATACAATATTGATTTGCTTAGTAAATTCTTCTCTTTGTAGATAGTACATCTGTTACCCAAAGCTTAATCAGATTTAGGAGTATTTCAGAATTATCAGGTAATTATGGAGCCTGATTTTTTTTTTCCCCCTTCTATTTAGATGCCCAGATTCTCAAACACCTTTAAAGTCGCTGTTCTGGCCACACAGCTACATGATAATATTGTTTTAGCTGTGTTAAAAAATATGGCCTGTCCCATCCCTAGTCCCTCTGCAGGGACTAAACTCCAGTGGCCGGGACTGCTATAGTGAACTGCCTCTGCAGACCTTCAGTGCAATCTTTCTGTGTGTAGGCCAGGCTGGCCTCGAACTCGAAGACATCTGCCTGCCCTTACCTCCTGAGTGCTGAGGTCAAAAGGGTGTACCACCACTCCTGGTTTAAGTGTAAAAGAGTGGCTCTTGGGCTTTTTCCTTAGTTGCACGCTAATTTACAACCCTGTTCAGTTTGTAAGTACAGGGTTTAGGCTTGTAATACTGGTGGACCAAGGAAGTTGAGTTGTGTCCTCAAGAGCATTCTTTTGCTTAGATTATCTTGATTTATTCAGATTGTGTGTTAAAATGTTCCTGTTTTAATAATTGGAGAATTGCACCTGCTGTATGCAATCTAACTTGTATCTGCTATTTTCCTTTCATTTTTCTGCTATTTGTTAAAATGTATTTGGATTCGGCAATCTGTGGATTTATATTTTCTGGTGAGTGGCATTCATCAACTTCCTGTGTAGCATTCCATACCCTGTGAGTGCTGAGCCTGATTTGGTCCCGTTTAAAGCCACAAGAAAATGTCTTTTCATCATGTTCCCAGACACAAAGGCACAGTCCAAGGGCTCAGGAAGGCTGAGAGCAGAGCAGGGGTGAGGCTGTCCTGACAGAGAGTTTCCCAGATTTTCCCGTTAGAAATGTGGGGTCCTGATCTAGTCTGTCGTCAGACCCAACTTCTGACACTGCTGCCCCACTCCACTCTGACCCTGTAGCTGAGCAGTGCCAGTCTGGCCTTGGGACAGCAGAGTTGCAAAAACTTTAAAGCCATGAAAAATGAGGTCTCCAGGGCTGGGGCCATAGCTCAGTGGGTGGCAGTTGCCTAAACTGTGCCAGGCCCTGGGTTTGACAACCAGCACTATTTGTTTTTTATATATATATATCTGCTAAATGGGAGTGGGACAGAGCAATTGTTGGTCATGAACATTTGAGTAAGGACCTTTCTGGAAACAGCTGTACTCCAGCATGGGGCTTCAAGCTCTCTTGGAAAGGCAAGTCATATGCATCAGCTGGGCAGCAGATCGCTTTTGGTCTCTGAGTCTTGTCATTCAGGCAATCCACAGTGACTATTGTTCCTCTGGCTGTCTGGGCACCACTTTCCATCCAGACACTTCATGGTCGTAGGATGCCATGTTTCTTTAGACTGACTGAACTTATTTTGCTTTTCACAATAGAGAGTACTTCAAAAACCATCTTTTCATAGAAGACTCCTGCATGAAATGTCTGTCTTCTTCCCGTAAAGATATTAAGGTCTATATTAATATGTAATTGGCTGTCTGTTATTTTTCAATGCAAAGAAGAAATGCAAACTCAGAGCCTTTCTTTTTGAGGAAAAAGGCCTGAGAAATTGACCCTTGGAGAGGCTGAGGACTCCAGACCCTTCCCAGGCATTGTTTCCTCAGAGCTTCTAAAGCATTGAACCCTCTGAAAGCCCAGGCAGAGTCCAGAACTTAGTTTTAGAAGCAGCTCTAACATCTGCTTCCCCCGTTCCTCAGCCGTGAACGTAGGTATTAGCCACTGAGGCTCAGGAGAGGAGAGACAGAAGTCAGTCCATGTGGCTGTTGAGTATCAACATCTTTCTAATACTGCATACCCTGAGGCAGACTGTGCTGCGCCTGCAGCCGCCTCTTCCTCCAGGCCTTCTCTTTAGGCACCTCCACCTGTCCCTGCCTCATGCCATGGATGGCTTTGCTCCCAGTGCCCAGCTTTGGTCCTGGCCTTGGCTGCATTCACTGCTCTGTTCATTGCTCACTCACACTCACAAATGATTGTGCTCTTGGGGAACTTTTTTTTCTGGCTTTTTGAGACAGGGTTCTCTGTGTGGCCCTGGTTGTCCTGAAACTTACTCTATAGACTAGGTTTTGGCCTAGCGCTCACAGAGATTAGGCTGCCTCTGCCTCCCAGAGTGCTGAGATTAAAGGTATGCACTACCATGCCTGATGTTCTTGTAGTACTTCTACAGTGATGCTATTTAGCCTATGAGAAGTTTCCTCTTCTAGTGGTACCCACAGGGCAGAATGGAGAAGTTGAAATCCAGGTTGCTATAGTCTGAAGTCCTTTCTGTTTGAAAGGCATGTCCACTGTCTATTTGTGGGCATTTGTCTTTTAAGCTTTACATACTCAAACAGCATATCTTCTTGTCACATACTGTAGTTAAGTCACTTTGAGGCAATAAGGCAGTCAAAATGGATTTCAGGGGCTAGGAGCTCAGTGGGAGAGCTCTTGCTGAGCATGTATGAGACCCTAGGCTCAATCCCTAGCACTGTCGGGGTGGGGGATGAGGAGGTAGGTTCTGAGCAGTCTATAATTTAGGAAAGAACCTAAAAAGAGCCTTTAAATATAAAGTCAGAAAGGGATGCATCCTACATAACAGGTCCTTTAAATGGATTGTGGGGTGCTTTTGCAATGCAGTTGGTACAGCTTGGGCCCCACCCCTAGGGCCCTGATATTCCTGGGAGCCTAGTATACTATGACTCAGCCTTGTCCTGGGTGTGTATGTCTGTGTGCACACACAACTAATGCATGGGCCTGGCTTCTTATAAATAAAAGAAAGGTAATACATCTAAGGATTATGCCCTCTCAGGGCTATTGAAACTGCTTGCTTACTCTTTGCTGAAAGCATTTCGTACAGTCACTTTTTACAATTGCCCCTGGAGTGTGTGTCATTCCTTTAACTATTCCAAAATGACAGCAAATCAGCCTGCTTTGCAGGTGGTTTGAGAGACTGCTGGAACGAGGCTGGAGGGATGGCTCAGGCTCTAAGAGCACTGACTGTTCTTCCAAAGGACCAGAGTTAAAATCCCAGCACCCACACAGAGGCTTACAACCATCTAGAACTCCAATTCCAAGGCCATCTGTTGCCGTCTTCTGGCCTCTGTAGGTACTGCACATTCATAGTACACAGACATATGTGCAGGCAGAGACAGACAGACAGACTGACTTCTGGAAGTTGCCAGAAGTGATAGTGATTATTAGAACAAGAAATAAAATATTTGGGTCAGGCCTGGTGGTTTGTGCTGGCAATCCTAACACTTAAGAGGCTGAGGCATGAGATTTAGCCTGAGTTTGAAGTCAACCTGGGCTACATAAGTGAGTTACAGGTCAGCCTGGACTACAAAGTGAGACGCCATCTCAAAAGAGAGAAAAAATGGTTCAAGACAGACCATGATAAGGAATTTGCTTTCTCTTGTGCCTGGCTCCAGGCACACTTCTCAAGTGGCTTCAGCAGAGGCAGCGTGACAGGAGTGAGCTGCTCAGTGGCTCTCTGAACGGGTAGAACACTCTTCTGGAATCCTGAGTTGTATTTAAAGCCAGTAGTTTCTCACATCCTGCACATCTTTTCTGAGGATGTGTAATGTCTCTCTCTCTCTCTCAAAATCTTGCTGACATGATAAGGTTGAGAGCATAAAATGACAGTTGTAAAAACTCCGTCTGAGCCAAACATCGCTCACACACTGGTCCTGGGTTCCACATGATACAGCTCCCACTTTGGGTGATAGAAGTGCCACTTAGTCAAAACCAAACTCCACAGAGTCTGACACACTGTAGCGTAAGCAGCGGTATCTGAATTACTCACTTGAAGCCACAGAGTGCAACCTGCCCTCTGTCCTCCTGAGAATTCATTCTGGAACCTCAGGGCCCACTACAGCGCTTCCCCTTTGACATCTCCTACCCAGGGGGTGGAGGTGCCAGGTGGCACACATCGGTGGAGACACAAGGGGCCATGGCTCAACAGAGCTCTCTCTGACCCCAGACACTGCAGGCAGCTCCTCTGAGGCCCTGCCTTGTGCTGTTGGGCCAGCGTCCATACCTGTCAGCACGAGGCTTGAGAGTTAGGCGCACAGCTGACTGTGAGACATGGGACAGTTGTGTAGTCTCCAGCGATTTGCATTTCTGACTCTTATCCAAAAAGCCAGTTCAGAGTTGAGACTCGCATTTGCTTTGTCGTTTGGAACCCAAGAGCACACTCTGTGAAGGTAGTCTTCCCACAGGACCGAGGCAGCTCTGGGAGCAGGGAGGGCTGGCCTAGTCAGGCTTATTGCGTGAACTGGGGAGCAGGTGCTTAAGATGAGGGAAGACTTCTCAGAGAGACATCCCCTTCAACACGGAAGTCCAGTGGGGGCGAAGCTCTGGCTCCATTTCAGGGCCAGGATAGCAGGATCCGTGTGTCATGCCTGGGAGGACACCAGTGGGATCCTCTTACAGCCAGCTCCGGTTTCAGGGTGAGAGGCTCAGCCTGGCCCTCTCAGACCTGCGGCTGTGTGCTCTGCCCTTGACCCCCATTAATCAGACAATTACCCCAGTGGATTTCTAGTGGCTCAGGGAGGGCAGCAGCAGCAGCAGCAGCAGCAGCAGGGAGACTGGACCCAAGCTGTACTGCCTTTCCCTGCCTGAATAGTTGCCCTGGGCAGCAATATAAGGCTTACCAGTATTCAGAAACTGCTCTTTTCCTTTTTTCTTTTTCTTTTCATGCCCAGCTATGTCCCTGAGCTGTAGAGACAGCCCAGGCTGCACTCCCCTAAGGGGGGCAGCCACCTGTGGTAGGTAGGTCAGGAAGCCTCCCGTGTACCCCAGCAGGGAGCCTTGATCCTGTAGCTCTGCTCATGACCCAGAAAGTTCCACCCCTCTAGAACTCTAAAGAGTTTGGTGAAGGGCGTGCTCTAGAAGGGGGCTGGAAAGCCCGGCCTTAAATCTGTGCTGTTCTAGAAAAGCTCCTGAGTTCTCATGTCCGGTGAGCCTCTTGAGACTTGGCACCTGTGACTCTGGGCTTTCGTGTGACCCTCTAAGGAGATGGAGAAGGTGTGCGGTGACACATGTAAGCTCACTAGGAAGGAGTCCAGTCAAAACTAATTTGAGGGGTAATTAAGCCGTAGACAAGGGACTTGCCTGTGCACCTCATTCTTGGTAAGGGGTGGTCACGCCACCGTCATAGCCCCTGCCAACTGTCCATCTTTTCCACTTACCACCCACATGGCTCCTACGCTTTATGTGGCACCATCCCACTCCACCACCTGTCCACCCGGTGCATGCTCAAGAGTAAACTGTTCTGGGCTCAAGTCCTCTGCAGTCGTGTCAGGGGACTTGGTGCTGCAATTTCCTAAGCAAGCTGCCAGTCCAAGAACTCTTGGAGTCTTTCTTAGGGACATTGACAACATTGACATGACAGAGGTTTTCTCTTGACCCTTTGTGGTTGACTGTGCATGTGCGCACACGTGTGCGCGTTCACGTACATGTGGGAATGTGTGTGTGCACACTGCCAGTGACATTGTCTCTGTTCAGTTGCAGGCCCAGGGCATACTGTCTGGCCGACAGTGATGAAGAATCCTCCAGTGCCGGTTCCTCTGAGGAAGACGATGCGCCGGAGCCTAGTGCTGGAGACAAACAGCTGCTCCCCGGAGCTGAAGGGTGAGTGGATGGGGTTTCTGGGGGTCAAGGGAGCAGCCAGGAGTCACCCCGTCTCCTCCTTCCCCTCCAAGATTCTTCCTGCACACCGAGTGAAACACCCCAAGAGAAAAGACTGGCTTTGCCTTGCAGTGTGAGTAAACATCAGAGACTCTGAAGGACAGGCTTGTCGCTAAATTGCGCACCGGTCTTCAGAGGACATAAACTGCACACCATCTCCCCCTGGTGGCCGCAGAGAGGAGGGATCCGTGTGCGCCACAGCTGCTGCCTTCTGCAGAGCTCAGATGCTTGGGGCTATTTCTTTGGTGAATTTTGAGACTGATGACCTAGCTGCTCTTCTGGATATTGAACTTCATCCGGGGGCTCCCTATGCTTGCTCCTTTGGCAGTGCGCTGATCAGAGTCCCGGCATCACGTGCCTTTCTGTAAGGACCTTTGCATTACTTAAAAAGAGTAATTCAACATTAAGATCGCAGCACCAGGTGATTGAGAAACTTGTAAGCAAATAGCAGGCTGCTCTCTTTGAAGCTGCAGCTGGTGAGCACGCAGGTGTTTGCATAGCACAGTTGGTACCTCTTAGAGCTATTGTTCAGGGCTACAAGTGCAACTGGTTGTAGGTGCTCATCTGCCACGTGCAAGGACTTGGATCCAACCCCACCACACACACATACACACACACACACACACACACACCTGCACATACGCTTTCTACGATGTCTGAAACTGCAGAGGATGTGGAAAAGCCAGTTGCCATTCTTCCTGTGTCAGAGGTAGTGGGCAGGACCCCAGGCAAACGCTGCTTTTCTTGGCTTACTAGCATATCCACTTGATGCAGCTTTGTGCCTTAAATTCTGAACCTTAAAAGGAAGAGACACGAGTTCCAAGCCCTTTGAAAAGCACCTGGCCCTCAGAGTGGGTGTTATGGTCCGTTAGTTGCTGCTGTGCTGTCTGTCGGCACAGCACGGGTTTCTGTGTGCTGTCTAGAGTCTGAGGCTCCCCCGTTAGGACAAGGACTCACGTTGAGTCCCGGAGTGGTACAAAAGAGCCTCCTTCTCAGTGGGATGCGTCTGTTCAGATGTCCGCTGTCCAGTCAGAATGTTCTCTGAAACAGTTCTCAACCAAGGGGGATTCGGCCCCACGGGGGCGGGGGAGCGGGACAGGACGACAGGCGCGTGTTGGAGTATCTCGGCAGGGAGAAGGTTCTTGCCTTCTAATCTGGAAGGCCAAGGAGACTGCTAAAAACTCTTATGTGCACAGAACAGTCCTCCTCACACAGAGTGAGCTTTCCACAGTGCATAGTGTCGCAGCAGAAAGGAGAGTGGTGCAGTCACAAGGCTTGAGTTCCTGAAAGATGTTTAGGGCCAGTGACATGGCCCGACAGATGAGGGCGCTTGCTGCCAATCCTGCAGCCTGAATGTGGCCCCTGGAACCCTACTCCAGTGACTTGTCCACTTAGGACTTGACACACACACACTAACACTCCTCTGTGTTCTTTATTTGAAGGTATGTTGGAGGTCATCGAACAAGTAAGATTATGAGGTTTGTTGATAAAATCACCAAGTCAAAATATTTCCAAAAAGCGACAGAGACGGAGTTCATTAAGAAGAAAATTGAAGAAGTCTCGAACACGCCACTACTGCTAAGTGTGGAGGTGCAGGAGTGTCGCGGGACCTTGGCGGTCAACATCCCCCCGCCCCCAACTGACCGGATATGGTGCGTGCATGCCCTGAGTGATCCCTCCTCCACATGACCGCCAAAGTCCTACCCTACCTAACCTTGGGACAAGAGCACTTCCACGCAGTTTTCATTAGTCACTGCATTTTCTTCCATGGCTGTCTCTTGCACGCTTTTAAGGATGGTCTTCATGTGTCAGGAAAAGTTAGGGTGAGTGTGAGGCTTGTGGGAGGGGCTGTCTCTGCCCTTGGGCCTCCTTTCTCTAGAGCTGACTCACCCACCTGCCCTTTGTAGCCAGCCCGGTCTCTGCCTTCCCTGGGCTGGAAGCACACCGCTGGCTTAGGCTCACGGCCTCCACAGATGAGGATCACACATGCAGGCAGTCAGGAGCACCCCCCAGTGAGGCCTTGGTGTTGGGAGGCTGCCGCAGATACTCCGCTCTTGTGATAGAAGGCTCTCTGAGGAGGAGGCTCTGAGTGGTGGTGTCACCTGGGGATGCTGAAAATGCAGACATAGCTGGCATAGTCAGCAGACTTTCAGCATTTGAGAGGTGTGGGGGAGGGGTGTTATAGTGCCCAAGCAACAGTTCAGAATTGATGGATAAATTATTCACAGGCCCAGCCTCTCTGTCTGTGAATCTCTGTTTAAACTTGGTATTCTAAGTCCTGTAAAATAGTCACCAGTGTGCGCAGTGAGGGAAGAGTGCTCAGAGCTCTTACTGTATTGTAAATGGCCTTCATAGTGAAAATACAGCTCTGCCGTCCATCAGAGAAAGGCCATGTGCTACGCCATAGTGTGCATCACGATTTGTAGGGATCTTTGGAAGAGGGGCTTTGCCAGGCAGCTGATCAGGCAGTGGCAGTGCCAGTGTTTCCCAGCAAAACTTAAAAGTAGCAGCCAGCTGTAGGGGCAGAGGCAGGTGGACCTCTGTGAGTTCAAGGCCAGCCTGGCCTACACAGTGAGTCCAGGACAGCCAAGGCTACACAGAGAAACCCTGTCTCAAAAAACGACAACAATGGAAAAACCTTAAAAGTAACTTTTGTAGGTAAATTTTTTTTTTTAGTATTAATTTCTTTTTTTTTTTTTAAGACATGTTTATTTTGTTATGTATATATGTAAGTACCTGAATGTATGTATGTTGTCCAGGGAGAAGAGAGAAGGTGTTGGACCCCTTGGAACTGGAGTTACAGACAGTTGTGAGCTGCCGTGTGGGCGCTGGGAATTGAGCCCAGGTCCTCTACCACTGCAGCGGTGCTCCTAAGTGGGGCCCTCTCTCCAGTCCCTGTGCTGTTTTTTTGTTTTGGTTTGGTTTAGCTTTGCTTCTTTTAAGTGGAGGGCCAACAAGATGACAGCTTGCGCTCCATCCCTGGGAGGATGAGGAGGAGAGAAAACCGACCCCTGCAGGTTGTCTTCTGACCTCCACATACACGTGCCTCGGCATTCACATAGCGTTGAGTACACACACACACACACACACACACACACACACACACACCTGCACATGTGTGTGCACACACACTGTTAAATTTTTTAATAAGAGGAAAAGAAGTCCACAGTCTGTACAGTCTTCCAAACACCAAAAAGGTTGATACAACACTTCATAACTGCTGGGTTTTAGGTACAGCAGATAATTCACTGGTTGGAAACTTGCTTAGAATGTTCAAGGCCCTTGGTTCCATTCTTCATATCATAAAGACATAACAATAACAGCACAAACTATAATAGAAACATTTATAGCAACTTGACATTTTTAATGTGTTTCTATAACATTGTCAATGACAGATCAAAGTTTTAGGTAGTTTGATAACAGTTTCTTTTCTAGACTTTTTAAAAAAAACTTTATTAAAATACTGAGTTTACCAGCCTAGTCTACAGAGTGAGTTCCAGAACAGCCAAGGCTGTATAGAGAAACCCTGTCTCCAACAAAACAAAAAACAACAAAAAAAAAAAAACCCTGAGTTTATTTCACAAATATATTTCTGTCTCCCCACCATCCCCCTGTCTGGCCACCACCATGACTATGTTCTGTCGTAACATTCCATTCATCCTTACCACCAAGTAAAGGATGGAGTTCCATCCTTGCAAACTGAACAGGAATTTTAGATAACATTCCTGGCAATGGAACAGGACAGCATTTGTTGAACACAGTAGGAAAAGCGCTTACTTTACATTATAAAAGGACAGGTGGCCTCTACAGAAGTAAAGTGAGACGGAATGTTGCAAGCTGTTTAAACCATTTTCTTAAAGAGGCCTTCTCCACTTGCTAGAGGTCCTGGGTGGCCTCCTGGTCAGTCATCTGGAGGCCATTCTTCACATGACTGCTCCACTTTGGGAACAGACCCACACCCCGCAGCCCTCATACCCCACCCCCTTTCCTCTTCTTTTGTTTTGGTTTTCGAGACAGGGTTTCTCTGTGTAGCCCTGGCTGTCCTGGACTCGCTTTATAGACCAGGCTGGCCTCAAGCTGATAGTGATCCTCCTGCTTCTGCCTCCTGAGTGCTGGGATTTCAGGCGTGTGCCACCATGCCCAGTCCACCCCCTTTTCTATCCTTGCTTGCATTTTTGCCTTAATGTCTTCTACAGAGCTAGGTCCTTTTGGTGGTTCAGTATTTTTTTGTTTGTTTGTTTCAGTGATTCTTAATTCTTGGTCTTGGTGAGATGGTTTTAAGTTTTTCCAATCTGGTTTGATTTTTGTGAATTTTTGGCCAGAGTGTCTCATGTCTCGTGTAGATTTCTTCCCTGGAGTTTTTTGTTCAGTTTCGTCACCGTGATCTTCATCATTGTCATCATCTTCATCAAGTTTTACTTTTTTACACCTCCAGGGGTAGATCATTTTGTAGGCTTGCTCAAGGGCTTTATGTCCATCTTCTGCCCTGCATCTTCCTCTATAGTAGGAGTTGTCCACTGATGTCCACAGGCCCTGAGCCACACTTCAACCTTAAGACCACAGCTGCCATAACTTCAAAGCCCCCAAGGGAAATTTGGATCTACAGACAGTTTCACGGTTGCCAGCGTTACATTGAGTGGACTGCCTTCATAACTCATTGCTTCTGCATGATTCGTCTTTTGCCCTGGCCCCTAGTGGATAGTTTGTAATGATAACGTTTTATCTTAGTTAGGGTTTCATTGCTGTGAAGAGACACCATGGCTATGGCAGCTCTTATAAAGGAAAACATTTAATTGGGGCTGGCTTACAGTTTAGTCCATTATTGTCGTGGTGAGAAACATGGCAGAGACTACAGGTTGGCATGGTGCTGGAGGAGCACTGAGTTCTACGTCTTGATCTGCAGGTAGCAGAAGGAGACGATGAGCCACACTGGGTGTAGCTTGAACACAGGAGACCTTAAAGCCCACACCACAGTGACACACTTCCTCCAGCAAGACCACACCTCCACATAGTGCCATTCCATAAGGGTGAAGCATTCACACACGAAAGTGGGAGAGGGCACACCTGTCCAAACCATCACGCTGGCGTTCACTTTCATCAGTGTCCACCCTAAAGTAATGAGCCTTACTGTTGGCCTTTAGTTCACAACTGAAAAGATAGTTCTGGGGTCTCAGGTCCACCTCCATTGAGCCTTCCTGAGGTAGAGGCACACAGTGTGAGGGAAGCAGGACAGAGATAGCTGCCACTCTTCCTCAGGACAGAATCACGGCATGGTCTAGGCTTCTCTAGTCACCTCTTTCAACTCAGGGTCTTTGATCTTCAAACTAGATTCTTTCTGCCTTGCCTCCCGAGTACTGAGATTACAAGTGTTTTCCACTCCACTCGGCTCCTCTGGATACCTGGCCAATAGCTCTGAGTGCCAGACTGCCCTAGAAGTCATAAAAAGCCTGGTGTGGCAGGGTGGGCAGCACGTTACTGTAACGGTAGCACTCAAGAGGCAGGGACAAGGATTCTGAGACTTCTAAGCCAGCCTGGCCTTCATAGCAAGGCTGTCAGGAAAGCACGGTGCAGCTCACAGTGGGAAAAGCGGTCTGTGGAGCATGCCCTGCCTGAGTCTGCTCAGGAGTGTGCCCTCCCTTGGGGATGGCATTCAGAAGAGACCGTGTCTTTGAAAATTTCTGGCTTATGGCGCAGCCTCTTCAAAAGTTCTGGCTAATACATTTGGTTTTTGTAATGAACACATTTTTTTTTTTTCAGATTTCTTTATTTTCAGATTCTTTATTTTCTACTTTTTGTTACAAATGCATGATAAGAGTTACAATAATTACTGCTTACAAATTAGTGTTAGCATCTGGATACACCAACTAAGCCTATCTTTTATTTTTGTTAATGTTGTCTGTTTCCAGTTTGTTAAAGTACATTACAAACATATTAAGATATTATGTGAACACTAAAATTAACATATCTTAACACATGCACCTATCTTTGTCTTCTAACCCAGATTGAAATCCATTAAGATTGATGTTTTATTCCTCTTGTGCTTGTAATTGAATTTGTAATAAGCACATCTTATTGCTATTAAAAATACAAAGAAAAAAAGGCCATTGCCATTTTAGGGAAATCAAAACCCAAAAGGCAATGCCCAGTTCCTGGCCTCCTGTTATACCTCTAGGCTCTCCTCTGTTATCGGTGCTGGTCTGAATCATCGGAACCAGACACTAGCTAGCAAGCCAAGGCGTTCAGAGCTCAAGCGCCGTGTGCTGACTTAGGAATGTGGCGGTTCAGATCTGGAGATCGTTTTAGTGATAAACCCAGGCCAGTGAGGAGTCTGTGTTGCCCACTTCCTTTCCCGCCTTCTTAAATGTGGTTACTGTCTTCTTCAAAAAAGGTATGGTTTCCGGAAGCCACCATATGTGGAGCTGAAAGCTCGGCCAAAACTTGGAGAGAGAGAGGTGACTTTAGTTCACGTGACAGAGTGGATAGAGAAGAAACTGGAGCAGGAGCTTCAGGTAAAGCTGCCCTTATCTCATGTTTCCCACGAGCATAAGAACACTGGGTGGAATGGGGAAGGGATGAGGGAGGCTGAACTTCATCTGGGTCCAGATCCTCTTTGAGAACTGTGTGGAAGCCGTGACCTTCATCCCAGGAGAAAACACCTATGTTCAGACTCAGGCTCAGAGTTTTAGATTATGGTTTCAAAGGCCCTGAGACATGTCCACAAAATAGACTCAGAAGAAAGCCAGCAGATGCGTTCAGAGGCAGGATGATAGTGCCCTGTACCAGTAAGCCTGCAGAGACACTCCTGGCTTTGGCTTTGTCCCACATGAAGTCAGGAACTGGCCACCCAGCTGCTGGGCAGGAAAGGTGCTCCCTGACTCTCTGTTGTATTTGCCGTACTTAGTTTCCTCAGTGGCGCACACCTGTAATCCCAGCACTCAGGAGGCAGAGGCAGGCAGATCTCTGTGTGTTAAGAGGCCAGCCTGGTATACAGAGTGAGTCCAGGACAGCCAAGGCTACACAGAGAAACCCTGTCTAGGAGAAAAACCAAAACAAGAACCTTCATAATAACTTTATGTGCTGCTGAGAACTCCTAAGTCAGAGCTCACCCTTAAGCCTGATTACTATGTTCTGCACCAACAATATTAGCAGCATAGCCAAGGCCTGACTGAGCTATTTCTATCAGATTTTTGTTTTACTTTGTTGTGGTGCTGGGGAGGGAGGTGTCAAAATATGCTAAGCAAGCATTCTACTACTGAACCATCCCACCCTACCCCAGCTGCTTGATCAAATATTTTTATTTATGTATGTGAGCACTCTATCTGCATGTACACCGCATGCCAGAAGAGGGCACCAGATCTCATTGTAGATGGTTGTGAGCCACCATGTGGTTGCTGGGAATTGAACTCAGGACCTCTGGAAGAGCAGCCAGTGCTCTTAACCTCTGAGCCATCTCTCCAGCCCTTTAATCAAATATTTGGAGCATGGCTGTCATGAAGTTTTATGAAAGCCAGACATGGTAGTGAATGCCTTTAATCCTAGCACTTGAGACAAAGGCAAGGCAGATCTCTATGAGTAAGTCTGGTGTGTGTGTGTGTGTGTGTGTGTGTGTGTGCGCAAGTGCGCGTTCACTCACTCACCCGCTCATGGATAGAGGTCACCCTCTGGTATCGTTCCTCAGGCACCGTCCACCTTGTATTTTGAAAAAGTCTTTTCTTGGCTTAGAACTGGACAAGCAGTCTAGACTAGCTGGCTGTGGAGCCCCAGGGCTCTGACTTTTCCCAGCACTGGGATTGCCCAACCTCTTCTGCTTGGGTTCCGGTGATCAGGCTCAAGTCGTGCTTGCAAGGAAAGCAAGCTTAGCTTTACTGAATGAGGTGTCTTCCCAAGTCCCAGTTTAAGTTTTGTGTGTGGGGGCAAAGGACAACCTACAGTCGGTTCTCTTTCCACCATGTGGGTGCCTGTGGTTAAGTCAGGTTACCAGACTTGGCATCAAGTACCCTGCACCTACTTAACCATCCTGCTGGCCCTTACATTTTTGTCTTTTTTTTTAAACTGTTGTTTAAAAGCTAGAAATTAATAACCAGGGTTATAATAACCAGGGTTTTTTAAAGATTTATTTATTATGTATACAATGTTCTGTCTGGATATACACCTGCACGCCAGAAGAGAGCATCAGATCTCATTGTAGACGGTTGTGAGCCACCATGTGGTTGCTGGGAATTGAACTCAGGACCTCTGGAAGAGCAGCCAGTGCTCTTAACCTCTGAGTGATTTTTCTAGCCCTAATAACTAGGTTTTGATAAAAGCCTACTGTTTTCACCAAATGAAAAAATCCTTTAAACCCAGTTAGGGGAAAAACCTCGTAACTGCTTTGTTAGGGCATCTTGGGTGAGAAGACAGAGATCTCGGTGCCTGGTACTGGAGACAGGTTGGGAAGCTGGAGGCCATCTGCTGCCCCTGCCGTGGTGCCTGCATGCCTTGTTTCTCTAAGAGTATTGCCGAAGATCAAGTCATTATCAGAATCCACACAGACATAGTATGCAAATAATAGCACTGTGTAACACTGAGTATCCCTTAAGCAGTCACCATATTAGCAGCAGCAGCTTCTTCTTCCATTCCACAGGCTTTTTCTGTGTTGCCTTTGCTTTGTAGACTAGGCTGGCCTTGAACTCATAGAGGTCCTCTTGCTTCTACATCCTGAATGCTGGGATTACAGGTGTGAGGAGCTGTTTAGTAAATTAGCATATGCTAATTTAGTAAATAAGTATATGCAGCACAAACTTGAGGATCTGAGTTGAAAACTCTAGCAGCCACATAAAATCCCAGCACTGGGAGACTCGGTGGCCAGGCTGTCTAATCACACTAATTATCTCTAAATTTAGTGAAAAGACTTGTCTCAAAAAATAAAGTGGGAAGCAATTAAGAAGACACACACATACAGACACAGCATGATAGAATGTGTTTGAAATGTATAGAAAAATATTTCATATGTGAAAAGAGGGCAATTGCCTGACATACAGCTATCCTTTTATCTCCCTACAGAAAGTTTTTGTCATGCCAAACATGGATGATGTTTATATCCCTATAATGCACTCAGCCATGGACCCTCGCTCCACTTCCTGCCTCCTGAAAGAGCCACCTGTGGAGGCCTCTGACCAGCTGTGATGGGTGAAGATGGGACATTCCCGGTATTACGAGACCCATCTCAAGGCATGGGATTTGTGGCTGCCATCTGTGCTGTGGGGCTAGCCTTTACTGGTGCCACAGCCACGTCTCTTAAAGGACTGCTTCTGCCCTCTGCCTGCCGGTGCCCATTCCACTGTGAGGTGTCATTCCCCGCCCGCATCCAGCGACAAGTGTCTAGTTTGTCTGTTGAAAAGCTTTGACTGGCAAAGGAGACTGGAAGAACCATTGTGGTAGAGCCAGAATTTAACAACTGACTCACACCATGCCTTTTTTTTTTTTTTTTTTTTTAAGTCTACCAGGTTTTGTGACAGCAAATGAGCACATTCAGAGCAAAGCTGTACAACTGGAAGGCTTCCCCTGGCCTGACTCCTCCAAAGCTTTTCCTCAGGCAGCTGGTGCACACAGAACACTTTCCACTTTTTACGCATGACTGCAGCCCTCACGCCGGGAGAACGCCACTGTGCTCACCTGTGTGGAGCGCGGTTTTGTGAGCCATTTCATCGGTGGTAAAATAGGCAGAGCAACTTTCTTCATATTCAGTTGTGCATTTGGGAAGCAAGCAGCCATAGAACACACACACCCACACTTTCACATGGGGTGGGGACAGTGGGTTTCATGTGAACATCAGGCAAAGCCATGAGATCAAACCATCCCAAATGAAGTACAATCACCTTGCTTCTAACCAATCCTGATTATTTCTCAGAGACATGAGCATATGTGACAATGTCAAACACCGCACACAATGACCGATTGCTCCTCCCTGGTACTGATGGGATTGGCCCAGAGAGCCAGAGTCCAGGTGTTCTCTCGTTTTTCTGTGTGCTCTGGGAAGCTTCGCCGTGGGGTGGGAGGGCCTTCTAACTGGCTTGGGAGTTTTGCGGGCAGCCCCCTTCTCTGATGGCCAAATGAAGGACTGCTCTTTACTTTCTAAGGGTCAAGCACTACGTCTCCACATGCACTTGTGACCTTTCTTTAATGTTGCCAACTTAAGTTGATGCATTTGTGTCAGAATGTTTAGTTTACAAATTTGGGGGCTATAATTGTGTAATTTGCTTTAAGACCTAATACAAATTTGTCTAAAGCTGCACTCAATGTCAAAATTACCTTGGGTAACTTCTGATAATTTAGTTTATGTGGACAAAGCTAATAGTTTTTTTTAACAGCACCTTGCCTGAAGATGACGTTAAAGAAATTAATATATTGAAAAGTTATATTTGAGCCTTTATTTTTAATCATCCCATTAAAACATGACAAATTATTTGACCATTCCAGTCAGTGTACTGCTCTAATTTCTCATGGGTAGGCCCATTTGCCTGGCAGTTACATGTATCTTGTTCACTGGTCTTTCTCTGTGCAGTTAACTAAGTTGAAGACTAGGTAAGACACAAAAGGATCTCAAGATTCCACCACTGTACCCTATTGAGCATAGAATATTGTGTGGGGACTTTACAATCGCTTGCATTGTTTCACAAAATAAATTATCTCCTGTCAAACACCAGACAAGCATATTATTTTCTTAAGAGAAGCCCATAGAATAGTGAATGCAGAGCAGACTCTTGTACTTTCCTAGCCTCCAGCAATGTTGAGGTAGGTTACCTTGTGGAAAGATTATATGGACTATTTTCCAGATGAAAGATCCCCGGAGGGTATCTTCCGTCAGAGAGACCCCCTCCCAAAGATCAACGAGGCCATTCGGATGCAAACAGCAAGAGGCTTTTATTTTGATTCACGAGTACTCGGGGCGAAAAGTCATTCGGAAGACTTCCGCGCCCCCTAGATGGAAAGCTGGGGTTTTTATAGGGTTTTAGAGCAGTAGCAATAATACAGAAGCGAGAGAGCATGGTTACAGGGGGCTGATTGGTACATTTTCATGAGACCATGATTTGCGTCAAAGTTTGGCAGGGGCACCAAGATTCCAGGAGCTGGGTGGGTCAAGGGGGTCTGATGACCCCCTGACGTGACCCGCCACCTGTTATTTTGTCTTTCCCTATCTCAGTTGGAGCATTCTCTGACAGATATCTCATGAGGGTGGTCATAACAAGTTGTTTTTAGCTCAATTGGGGCGGCCTGACCACAAATATCCCAAGCGGGTGACACAGCTGAGTGTTTTCAGTAATTTTCCAGTTTCTCATCTGGCCTTCAGATTTTTACAAAACAGTGGTGTCTCACAAAATGGCGTTAGCTATGTTTAACTCAGGGTGAAGCTGGATCTTTCACAGAAAAACTGGTCTTTGGGACCTGCAAACTTAGTTTTTCCCTGTTGACCTCTGTTTACTCCAAAGGCCTCGAATCTTCCTAACTATTCTAATTGCTTCTGCTATTAAGCTGACAATAGTTTGCCTGAAGCTTCAAGCTTGTCAGAATACCCAACAAAGCAGCTTCACTCCAGTGCCATTTCCTTCGGGAAAGGAAAGAAATCTTACTAGGTGAGGGTCCTCAGTTATTCACTGTTTTACTTGATGGACTTTATGGTGCATACTGGAGGCTCAACCTGTCATGTCTGCTAGTCAGGCACCAAGCCTGTGACTTGCGACTCCTGTAGGAGGCCTCACCTAATTACGCACCCCGCCCTTAAGGCTTCTGCCCCCCTCAACACCCTTGTGCCACGGTGGCATTCCTACACCTCCAGGGCCGCCCCATTTCACCGCAGAGCCATGCACCTCAGTTACACCCGCCCCTGGGATCAGGACAAAGAACAGGACCTACTTAGCAAGGCACACGCGGGCCGTGTAGCTGGCGGTTAAAAGGGCCGCCCGCGACGGGCAGACGGCCCCAGTTATGCGCCAGCAATTGCTATGGCGCTGCAGCTTAACCCCCGGGACAACAGAGGTGCGCCGGGGGCTCAAAGGCAGCGCGTCGGGCAGTGACACACACGGACTCCAGCGCTACCGTCAGAACAACTTTATTCAGAGGTGTGGGGAAAGGCTGGAGAAGTCCACGCTGTCTGCGGTCCTCCGCAGGAAAGATCTGAAAGAGAAACGAAGGATGAGGGGCAGGAAGGTGGCCGGGCCCGCCACCCCCCGCTGCCGCCGCGGTCGGCTCAGACTCCGATTCGCATCACCCGGATCAGCAGTCTAACGCGTGCTTTGTATGGAGTGTCATCACCGCCGGCCGCCCACCCGCAAACTGTGCGGCCGCTCGGCCCACGGAAACGGCACACTACCTCGCAGGGGTCCCCGGCGCCAAGAGGACAAGACGCGCCTGCGGCCTTCACTTAAAGCAGGCCTCCGGAAGTTGCTGGGCGGGCTTTTGTGATGTTGACCAATTGGAAGCCAGATCTCTTGTCACGTGCACACGAGCAGCCGGATCATTGGCTATGCTTTCTGGGTCGTCTAGCGTGTGGACAGGTCCTCCAACCATAGAGATGGGAAGAAACTAAACCGCGTGTTGCGGGATGCTAGCTATTTCCGGTCCCCCCCCCCGCCCCCCGCTACTGGAAAGGCGTGGGTCTCACAACGAGACAAGTGGAAACGTGACGGTTGTGAGGTAGAAGGCGCTTAGACTGTGAACGAATCCTGATTTTGTGTGAATTTGTCGTTCGGCCTTTCTGTTCCTCAGTTCGGGATTATCCTCCCACATCCCGGCGTGATGACTCACTTGTCCGTAATTCCAGCCCTTGAGAGGCTTAAACGCCCAGTTAACATTTTTTATTTTGTATACTGTGACTTGGCTGGGAGAGTGTGTATTGTCGTTGATGCCGAAGCCGGTGAGGATGCGGTGCTTTGTTCCCATTACTTCTGTTGGCGAGTACAGAATGGGCCAACCGTTTTGGAAAAGGAGTTGGACACTTTGCTGTCAACAACCACTTGCCATCCCTGGGAATTTAAGAGAAATTTAAACTGGTGCGCACATAAAATCTCATGCATAGTTGTAAGTAGCAAAGTTACGCAAAAGCTTAAACCCCTAAATGGAAACATGCAAAGGCGCTTTAATAGGTAAATATAAACAAATAATGTTATCTATACAATCAAATGCTTGGCAAAATACAACAGTCTCTTGATAGACGTGATCCTTCAGAGTTTATAGTGGTCATCTTGCCTTTTCTTCAGAAAATGTCTTGGCTAGCCCAGGCTGGGCTTGAATTCATAATTCGTGCCCCAGCCTCCCAGGAGACTGGGAGTCAAGAGTGTGCTCCACCCCATTCAAAGAGCTTTATCATATTTAGCTTTATTGATATTCTCAGCTTTTTATCGTCTTTGTTTTTTTAACTCACCTTGAGTCCCTGGCTCTTCTGGTTTCTTTTTATTGATTGATTGATTGATTGATTTAATTCCCTGTGCATTGGTCTGAAGGAAGGGTCAGAATCCCTGGAACTGGAGTCATAGACAGTGTGAGCTGCCATGTCGGTGCTGGGAATTGAACCCAGTTCCTTGGGAAGGGCAGATAGTGCTCTTCACCACTGAACCATCTCTCCAACTGAATTTCTCTATATACTCTTGGCAGTCCTGGAACTCTGTATACCAGGCTGGCCTCGAACTCAATGATCCACCTGCCTCTGCCTCCTGAGTGCAGGTGTCACTACACCTGCCTAGTTTCAAAAAATAGATTTTTAGGAGCCTGGCACGGTGGCACATGCCTGTAATCTCAGCACTCAGGAAGGCAGAAGCAGATCTTTGAGAGTTCAAGGTCAGCTTGGTCTACAAAGTGAGTCCAGGACAGCTAAGTCAAGGCTACACAGAGAAACCCTGTCTCAAAAAACAAAAAAAAAACAAAAAAAAAAAAAAATAGATTCTTAGATTATTAATGTAGACCTTTTCTAGCAACCCATTAAAGGCTATACTTTTCACATTAAGGCTTGCTTTAAAGGCATCCCATGGATTATATTTTGTTTTCATTAATATTCGGCTCAGAGTGTTTTCTAATGTCCCTTTGGTCTTTCTCTTTTTACTGATGGGTTATTTTGAAAAGTGATGTTAGCTGGGTGCGGTGGTACACATTTGCAAAACCAGCACTGGAAGATGGAGGCGGGAGAATCAGAAATTCAACATCAGCCTTGGCTACTTATGGAGTTCACGGCCAGGCTGGACAGTGTGAGACCTTGCCCAGAAAACAGGAGCTGGAGAGATATTACCTGACCCCCGTGGCTTAGGATGTAAACTTCTCAGCTACTGCTCCAGCACCATGCCTGTCTGCTTCCTGCCATGATGGTCATGGACTGATAACTGTAAAACTCTAAAACTGTAAGCAAGCCCCAGTTAAATGATTTATCAGAGTTGCCTTGGTCATGGTGTCTCTTCATAGCAAACTGAGGTCACCAGGCTTGTGTGGCAAGCACCTCAACCCATGGAGGCATCTGGCTGTCACTGTGAAGCATCTGGTTTTGAACACTTCCTCGTAGCATCCCTATGGAATGGTTACAGGTAGAGAGCAGAGGAGCCACTGAACAGCCACGATGCACAGGACGACCTCTGTAGCCTGAGACTATCTGACCAGATTTTAAAAACAAACCTGGCCCCAACCTGTTGACAGTACAGAGACTGAAAAAGCCTGTCTTCCAACTCTGGTTTCTCTTCTATCAGCAAATGAGAAAATGTTGAAATCTGATGTGCATTTGGTTTTGTTGTCGCCAATTGTGCTGAGCTTGGCTTTGATTTCAAGTTCAACTTTAAGGTTATCTACACATTGAGGATTGCTGAGTTTCATTCATAAGTGGACGCTTTCATCATTGTGAAATATCCCTCTATTTCTGGTAATATTCCTTACTTCAGAGCTAGCTTTTCTGACAATGAGCACAACCTTCCAAGTCTCCCCACCCCCAGATAAGCCCTTGTTTTATGGCGCAGGCCAGTCTCCAGTTCTCTGTGTAGCCCATGCCGACCTCCTGCGTTAGCTTCTCTAGGGCTCGGATTATAGCTGTGTGCTGCCACGCCTGAACAACGGTCTTTAGGGTAATTTTGATAAGGTCCTTCTTTGTCTTTCTCTGTCTTCTGACTTTTAGCTCCTCCGTATTTATTTTTGGATTTATTTCTTATAAAATCTCATAGTTGAGTCTTGAGATTTCGAGGTTGGTTGTCTACGTTTTTAAAAATGATGTATTTTATTTTATGTGTGTGGTTGTTTTGCCAGTGCATATGTCTGTGCACCACCTGTGTGCGGTGCCCACAGAGGCCAGAAGAAAGTGTCGGATCCCCTGGACTGGAGTGTCAGGCAGTTGTGAGCTGCCATGTGGGTGCTGAGAATTGAACCCAGGTTCTCTGGAAGAGCAGCCCATGCTCTTACCCAGTGAGCCACCTCTCCAGCCCCCAGGGCTGCCTTTTAACTAGTATATGTAGACCATTTATATCTCTTTAATACTTTTACTGAAAAATAACTTACCTGCCCATTTAGAATATATGGCTTTGCTATATTAACAGAGTTGGGTGTCATTACCACTATTAACTTTAGAATGTTTTCATTGGCCCAGAAAGAACCCCTATGCCCTGGTCATTACTTCCCACTTTCCTCATCCCCTCCTCCAGCACTAAGCAGCCACTCCTTTACTTTCTGGCTCTTCCCCTTGAGCACTTTATGTGAATGGGATGGTAACAATGTGAACCTTTACAGCTTTTACTTAACATTTCAAGATTAAGATCTTGCACTATTCTTCATCCATTTTGATTGCTAAATAGTATTCATTAAGTGGATATACCACTTTTTTGTTTGTTTTTATTTGTGTGTGTAAGGGGGTTGTATAGGGAAGAAGGTAAGGTGTGCAAGCTCATGCCATGGCACACAGATGAGAGAACAACTTCAGATGTCATTCCTCATCTTCCATCTTGTTTGAGACAAGGTCTCTCTCTCTCTCTCTCTCTCTCTCTTGTTTTTTCAAGATAAGGTTTCTCTGTGTAGCCTTGGCTGTCCTAGAACTCACTCTGTAGACCAGGCTAGCCTCGAACTCAGAAATCTGCCTGTTTCTGACTCCCGAGAGCTGGAATTAAAGGCATGCACTACAACCAGTGGGCAAGACACGGTCTCTTGTTTGCTGCTTTGTATTGTGGGCTAGCTAGCCCATGAGCAGGATTCTCTTGCATCAGCCTCCCATCTTGACATAGGAGGATTGGATTACAGGTGTAATGACATCATAGCCGGCTTTACATGGGTCTGGGGATCTGAACTCAGGTCTTCAAGTGTGAGCAGCAACTGCTTTACCCACTGAACTCTCTCCTCAGCCCCATGGGTGGTGCGCACTGGGACTGCTTCCACGTTGGAGAAATTATAAATGACACGGAGTCCTGGGTTCCATCCCCAACGCTGCACAAACCTGCTGAGGTAGCGCAAAATCACCTAAGGTTTAATTACTTTTTAAAAGTTTTATTATGTTTTCTATGTGATGTGCGTGTGCCCACAATATCACAGGAAGGAAAAGAGCAGAGAGTCTGGAGGAAAGCCAGGAAATGATCATATCCCAGGAGGATGTGTTCAAGAGCTCTTGAGCAGCCCAGAATGAAACAGTGGTCCAGGGAAAACAGGATGAAGCCAGACCTCCTCGGAGATTTACTAGAGGAAGGGAGCTTATGAGCCGCCTAAGAGAGGTTTCCAAAGAGTTCTATGGAATTAGGCCGAATAAGGGATGAGGAGGGCTAGGTGGTGCGGAGATGGAGGTGTTTTGTGAGGATGGTCATATCCATACTGGACCTGAGATTACTAATACATGATAACACTCTGCCGTGGCATCATAGCCTTGGCACAGTGTGTGTGGAACACAAGAGCTCAGAAGCGAGAGAGCACATAACCAGTGAGGGTTAGTCTGAGGTACCCTAGAGGAAGTAGGCCTACACCCTGAGCCAGCTGGCTGGTGCTTTTTCACATTCTTTTGCACAACTTCATATGGTTTCAAACAAGGCTCATAGTCAGCACGTTTGTGCCAACTTGAGGCTCTTCTTAGTGTAGTTTGCCTTCAATATCAGTGGGTTTCATATCTGGATTCAACCAACCACAGGTCAGAATTATTTGGGTTTTTAAAAATTGCAGCTATGTTGAACGCATACAGGCTGTTTTTTTTTTTTTTCCCCTCATGGTTCTTCCCAAATAATACTGTGCAGTAGGTATCACAGATTATCCAGGGATAACTTAGATTTTTAAAGTATACAGGAGGATATCAGGAAGCTATATATAGACATATGCAAATGTGATGCCATTTTATTAATATAGAAGGGATGTGAATGGGATTTTGGTATCTGTAGATTTTGAGGCTTCTGAAGCCCATCCTCTAAAATATAGAGGGAATATGGTTGATACTCCAGGAA